TCTTGATTTCTGGTAGTCCTTTCCCCATCAGGGAACTCACAATGAACAATATAGATTTGTGAATTGTTCTGTTCAGTTGCATTAGTGGTATATGGAAAGAGCACACAAATCAGCCCAATTATAGTAAGAATTAACCTGTATTGAGGCATGATAAATTTAGTACTAGTGAAAGAGCTGTTATTTGGTGAGTGTTTTTGAACTTTGATTGAGGGTATGTATACTAATTGGAAGTAAAGTTTTTTATTTGCAAGTCAGAAGCTAGTTTAGAAATGTGAAATAGTCATGCCTGGTGATACACGCTAAAACGATTTTATTCTATTTAACATCTATGTGATAATGAACTAGGCATAGTAACATCATACAGATGAAGTCATCAATCTACAATATACTTTTTAGGTATTGTTCCAGTCAACTTGGATGCGCCTTAACTAATACACTTGTTCACCTCGCAAGTACATGGTACCAAAGTAACCGTGCTCATAATGGCTGGAGCAGACAGATTCACACAACTAGTGTCGTAGCTGAATTTTTAACCTGGAATTTCCAGATGGTTACTCCGATGGCTCGATCATTAGGCCATCTACTTGGAACCAAAATATGTCTAGAAGTATACCTAAACTTGAGTTCTGAAAACAAGTAATTGTCAATAAAGTGGATAGAGAACAATGAGGTTTCAGGTTTAAATCTCAATGAAGGCGGAAGAAAATTAATAAAACAAGCATCTCTCTTGACTAATGGTGAGATTATGAAAGAGAATTATAATAATGTTGCAAGCGTGCACCTCCCTCCAAATAGGCCTAATGTTAATTACTTCTATAATACAAATATGCTAACTTCTAAGTTTTGTAAAAGTTTTGAGATTTGTCAATATTGACAAAATCAAGCATTACCACTTAATTTGACATTTTGTTTTGAATTAGTTTCATGTTTGTTTTATTTTGATTTTAAAACTAAGTGCATTTCCATGAAAAAACCAAGTATGACAACACCAGTGGATGCAGTCTTAGTAGCACATTAGATTTTAAACCATAATTTCTTAAAAAACTCAGAATGAAACCAGCGAGAACCACCATTAATGGTGGATTCGAGAACCTACTGAACTCAAGATTAAGAGAGAGTTAATTGAGAAGGCACATTTCTCATTTCTGAAAATATGAAAACTGAACTAGAACTAGATACAGTGAGCTATATATATACAGACTGAAAACTGGAAAATATCTAATAACTAGGACAGCTGTCTAACGGAAAGCTAACAAACTACAAAACTGTTAACTAACTAATTCTGTGAAAGTAACACTGTTTAAACTAACTAACTAATTATGCATAAACTTATTAATCTCAACAGAAACAGAAACATACTTCCTCTTTTTCAATTAATGTGACGTATTTTGTTTTTCGAGAATACAACACAGTTTAAGTTTGATCGATAATTTGCTCATGAAACCTTCAATTTTTTAAAAATGAAATTTATATATTTGTAAATTATGTAAAAATTACTATAAGTCACAATAATTGTCAATTCAAAATATTTAAAAAGATATATGAAAAATTTACGATAAAAAATAAACTTATTTAAATCTCAAAATTTGAAATATGTCACATAAATTGAGACAAAAGAAATACTTATTAAATAAAGGTTTTTAAAGTTAGAAGATTCCAGAGAGAATGATTGAATCTTGAAATAGAAAAATAGAGGTTGATACTTAATAATGATCTGTACTTAGCTTCTGCAGAGGATAATGAAATGGTCTCCTGTTTCTTAGATTTCCAGCTGATGGGACTGCTTCCCAGCAAGACAATGTAACCACTCACAGATTTTCTAGAGTCAGGGCATGATGCCCAATCAGAGTCACAAAAAGCTTGAACTTCAAAATCAGGAGAAGATGACATGAAGATGCCCAAGGTGGGATCATTTTTGAGATACCTCAACATGTGAAAAGCAGCTCGAAGATGAGGTTCCCTGGGATCTTGCATATATTGACTCAAATGTTGAACTCCATAGGCAATATCAAGTCTGGTATGAGTGAGGAAATTCAGCTTTCCTACCAACTTTCTATATAAGGTAGGATCACTTAATGGTCTGCCTTCATGAGCCTTAAGCTTAACATTAGGATCTAAGGGAGAAGCCATGGGAGTTAGTGTATCACAATGGAAGTCCTTGAGAAGGTCATGGACAAATTTTCTTTGAGATATAATGACTCCATCATCCTTATATAATATCTCCAAACCCAAGAAATAGTGCAGTCTCCCAAGGTCTTTGATCTTGAACTGGTCATGGAGAAAACTTTTGAGATTGTCAACTTTTCATACCATTGTCTGCTTGCTTGTTTCAGACCATACAATGACTTGTTGAGCTTACAAACCAGCCCTGTATGTGGCACAGCAAGACCTGGAGGGACATCCATGTATACTTCTTCATGCAGATCTCCATGGAGAAAAGCATTATTAACATCAAGCTGGTAAATATTCCACTGTTTCTTTGCAGCAACAGCAATCAAAGCTCTGACAGTTGTCATTTTAACAACTGGTGAGAATGTTTCTGTATAATCTATGCCAAGGTGCTGAGTATACCCTTTAACCACTAGCCTTGCTTTGTATCTTTCCACACTACCATCTGCCTTGTGTTTGATTTTATATACCCATCTACAACCAATAGCTTTCTTACCAATAGGCAAAGGAATAAGGGACCAAGTGTTATTATCATGCAAAGCAGCAAATTCCTGAGTCATGGCTGTTTGCCAGGCAGGATCAAGAGCAGCTTCTGCATAGCTAGATGGCTCACAATCATGAGCAATATTTAAAGCAAAAACTTGACTATTAGGATCCAATTCTGCAGGAGATATATGGTGTTTGAGGGAAAAACAAGCAGTTAATGTAGTAGGGGTTGTTGGTGTTGATGTGTGGTTATCTGTGGGTTGTGAAACAGGTATAGAGTGAACATAGTCTGACAAGTATGTGGGCAATTTGTGAGTCCTATGAGACTTCCTGGTTGTTATATCAGGTTGGTGAACTTGTTGGAGAGGTGTTGTTAATGTATTGCTAGGAGAAGGATGATGTGGTGGACTAGAAGGGTCAAGGGGTAAAGTAGGATTTGTGTCACTTAACGTCTCATGATCACACTGGACAGTAGGATCAAATGATGAATCAGAAGTGGGATATGCAGACTGATCAGTAAACAGTGAAGATGGAAAGGAGAAGAAGGGAAGAGAGTAGGATCTTTAGTCATTGCAAGGGGAAATTGTTTCATGAAGATGACATCTCTGGAGACATACAACCTTTTAGTGGCTAGACTCATGACCTTGTATCCTTTCATACCAAAATGGATATCCTACAAAAAACGTGTGGAGATGCTCTAGGTTCAAATTTGGATCTTTGGGTTTTAGGGATAGTTGGGTAGCACAAACAACCAAAACTTCTTAAGTGTGAGTAAAAAGGCTTCAGCCCATACAACACTTCATATGGACATTTGTTATTTAGAGGTGCAGAAGGGAGTCTATTGATTATATAGGTAGCAGTTAGAATACATTCTCCCCAGTATTTTGTAGGGAGTTTGGACTGAAAAAGAAGTGCCCTAGCTGTTTCAAGAATGTATTTATGTTTCCTTTCCACCACACCATTTTGTTGAGGTGTGTATGGACAAGACTTGTGGTGAATAATACCTTTGGACTGAAAAAATTGGATGGACTCAGTATTGGTGAATTCAAGCCCATTATCGGATCTAATTACTTTGATGGCAGATTTGAATTGGTTTTCAACCATGGATGTGAAGGTTTTAATAACATGTAGGGCATTGCTTTTATGACTAAGTAGATGTGTCCAAGTGGACCTACTGAAGTCATCTACCAGGGTAAGAAAAAATTTAAAATTGTCATGTGTGGGTGTTTGGTATGGCCCCATAAATCAACATGGACTAAATCAAAAATAGCAGTGCTATTATGAGTGCTCTGTTGGAAAGGTAGTCTAGTCTGTCTTGCCATGGGACAGATGGGGCAAAAGAAAGGCTGTTTGGATGAGAAAACCACAGGTATTGAGGATATACTCTTCATTTTAACAAAAGGGACATGACCAAGTCTGTAATGCCACAACAAGTCTGTATCATCACCAGTGGTAACAACATTGCTATCAACAGAAATAGTATTGTGTTTATTGTCAGATGACCTATTTATTACAGTTTGATGAGGCAAACAGGAATGAGAATTACATTGACAATGCAACCTATCAATTCTATGAAGTGAAAGACATGTAGTAGGATTTTCAGATGAAGTGGAATGTTTGCTCTTTTGCAGACAGTCTGAGCAAAGGAGATACAGACCATCATGAGCTTTACCAATTTCCAGAGGCCTCTGCAAGAGACAGGATGTGTTAGAGAAAGAAACAACACATTTAAGATGTAGAGCTAAGGAATTGATTGAAATCAAGTTGTACTTGAAAGAGGGAATGAATAAGACATTGTACAGCGTGATCTGTGAAGTTAGTTGCACATTTCCAACCTCTGTGACCTTAACCTTATAGCCATTAGGTAATCTAACTAACATTGGTTCAGGTAATGGCAAAATATTGGTGAGATGGAGTTTGTTAAATGTCATATGGTGTGATGCACCTGAGTCTAAGATCCACAAGTCAGTTTTGGCTTTATAACATTCACATGAAAGTTGGTCAAAAACTATAGAAGAAGTGCATGCAATGATACCTGCAAAGTTCACAGCAGGACTTGTTGTCTACATGTTGCCTGAATTTTCTGCCTGAAATTGCTGAAGTAGGTAGGCAAGCTGTCCATACTGCTCCTTTGAGATGCCAATGTCCTGATTGGTGATTTGACCCCCAAAGTCACATCCTTGTTCCATAGTAGAGTCACATGACAGCCCTACAGAATTAGCTGCCACACCTTTCCCTTTGTTATTGTTTCTGTATGCCTGATTGGGACTATAATTCTCATATTGTTGTTGTCTTTGGAATTGATTATAACCTTGCTGTCCATGAGACTGAGATTTCTGAGATCGATTGTTATTCTGTGGATATCCATGTAACTGATAACATTTCTCCTTAATATGGCCTGGTCTCTTGCAGTGGTCACAAAATGGTCTTCCTCTATGAATTGGAGAAGCAGATGAGTAATTTGTTTGGAAATTCTGACCTTTTGAAGTACCTGAAACATTAGCAGCTAAAGAGCATCCTGAAGAGCTAGCAGCAAGAGAACTGGATTCAGCAAACAATTGGCTGTTTGATTTAAACTCTCTCTGTTTTTCTTCCTGTATCAATAGGGCAAAAGCTTGTGCCACAGATGGTAGTGGATTCATCATCAAAATGTTACCTCTGATTATTGTGTAAATCTCATTAAGACCCATAAGAAATTGAATCAATCGTCTATCCTGTTCAACCTTGTGCATGACATCCTTTGCTCCACAATTACATGCACAACTGCAGTGGTTCTTGATACATAAGCTACTTAATTCTTCCCAAAGTTTCTTCATCTTGGTGTAATAAGTTGTTACATCCAGAACTCCCTGAATGAGATCATTGATCTCTTTCTGAATTTGATACAACTTGGCACCATTGGTTTGATCATAACGATCCTCCAAATCAGTCCACAATTCTAAAGCACTGTCCACGTATGCTACACTATCAGCAATTTCTCTGTTCAAAGAATTTAGGATCCAAGATGTAACCATATTGTAACACCTCTCCCATTGTTTATAGTTTGGGTCTGTAGGAAGTGGTTTCTTAGAATCTCCATTGATGAAACCCAATTTATTCTTCACTGACAGAGATCTGATGATGCCTCTCCTCCAGGATCTATAACCAATTCCATCGAAAACGACTGGTACAAGAGGTGCACCTGGATTATCTGATGGATGTAGGTATAAAACACTTCCTATTTCAATTCTAGTTACCTCTAGATTAGTGACTTCTACCATTGTAATGCAGCAGAATCAATCCACAGAAATGGAGAAGAGAATGTGCAGGAAAGTAAAAGAAAACTGAAGAACAGTTGAAAGAAAAAGGAACAGGTAACCTGAAACAAGCCTGAGAACTGAAAGATCTTCACGAGAAGGACGGAGATAAGCAAGGTTGATCGATCCCTCGCTCTGATACCATGTAAAAACTCAGAATGAAAGCAGCGAGAATCACCATTAATGGTGGATTCTAGAACATACTGAAATTAAGTTTAAGAGAGAGCTAATTGAGAAGACAGATTTCTCATTTCTGTAATCTGAGAAAACTGAATTGGAACTAGATACAGTGAGCTATATATATACAGACTGAAAACTGGAAAATATCTAATAACTAGGACAACTGGCTAACAGAAAGCTAACTAACTACAAAACTGTTAACTAACTAATTCTGTGAAAGTAACACTGTTTAAACTAACTAAGCATAAACTTAACTAATTCTGTGAAAGTAACACTGTTTAAACTAACTGTGCATAAACTTATTAATCTCAACATCAAAAGTTTAATGGATTCAATGTTAAAGAACTTTGAAGATCAAATTTCATGTAGTTACAATTTTGGATTCGTGTTTTCTTGACAATATCATCTATCTAGTGTACATTATTTATATTCTCGAAAAGTCATAACCTCATCTTCAACCGGATAACATGTTTTTTAAAAAAAAAAGAATTTGTTAAAGTAAACAATAAGTGTACTAATTATGATAAAGAGACCTTACACTTGATGACTTCTTCGAGATATGATATCAAGATGAATATACTTCCTTATTATTTTAAAATTACCATGACTTAATAATTTTTTAATAGCAACAAATCTATACCTTACTAACTATAATAACTTGTAAAACTTCATGGACTATCTTTATTCAGATCCCAAAAGACAGATACTTGTTTAGAAATATTCTCTTGAATTTTGAAATGTTCAATGTGATTATGAGTTATGTATTACATTCTTCAATATTTTTAGTAGTTCAAAATGTTGTTTTACTAAAATTATGGTATTGTCACCAAATTATTCAATTTTTCTCTTTAAACTAATTTTTTTCTTTGAAACACACTACAAGTTGCAGGTGCAGCCCTTTGCAGGCTTCATGCTGAGCATTTCTCACAAATTATTGAACTTGAGGGAAAAAGAAGTGTCGAAATCTCGATATCTGGTTGGCATTTCCTCATCAGGAAACTCACAATGAACAATATAGATTTGTGAATTGATCTGTTCAGATGCATTAGTGGTTAATGGGAAGAGCGACATAAATTAGCCCAGTTATAGCGAAAAAAGATAAACATAATATTTGTTTTTATTGCAAATAACAACAATAACATACTCAGTGTAGTCTCACAAGTGCGGTCTGTGGAGGGTGAGGGTGACAGGGCGGGGTGGAACAGATGAAGAAGATATATTTACAATGTAAACACATGACCAAACGTATGGAATAATAAACCAAAGTTAACATCTTGAAGATGGTTTTATTGCAAATGAAAAATCTTGATCAGTATGTCACTTAGATCAGCTCCTTCATTTGTTTCTTCTTGTCCTACGTTTGTCACAGTTCTTGAATATACTTGAACTTCTGAGTTGCTTCTGACCTGAATCGAAAACGATGGATAATTTAGTTGTCCTTCTAAGATGCTAGTAATCTCCGAACAATTCACTTTGCGCTGAACAATGACAGTAACTTGTCTGTTCGTGTAATTCAAACCACATAAATAAGGTATGTAATCGGATGGCTTTATATCATATATCAGGCCGGGATCATTTGCTTTTGATGGATTAACATGGCCTGCACCTGTGGCAAAGACATCGGCTGGAAGGTACGTTTCATCCTCGATTAAGTTGGATTTGAGGTTTATGACATCGGCTGTTGTCATAATTGCTGACTTAATTGCAGCTGGAGACCAATCCGGGTGAATACTTTTTAGTAGCGCTGCAACGCCACTGAGATGGGGACAAGACACTGAGGTACCTGAAATCATGTTAAACGTAGAGTTTGTTCTCATGTCATTCTCCAAGGAAATATGCCAAGCTGCTAAAATGTTAACCCCAGGACCGATAATGTCCGGTTTCAGAATTCTAGGACTTGCATAACTTGGACCCCTGGAAGAAAATCCAGCAACCACTGGATTACGATTATCTCCGATTATAGTCCCCTTGAACACGATTGTTGCAGTGGGGGTTGTTGTTGAGTTTATGTACTCTTGGATTTTTAGACCATCAGCATAGGTAACGTGTGTCATGGGTAGGACATGTGCTTCAGCTAATGTTGTGTTAGCCCAGTATTCTGGATTCATAATAATCATGGCAGCACCACCAGCTGCCTTCACTGCTATTCCTTTATCAACTGCTCTTGTTATACCAGCAACACACAACACAATCTTTCCCATGACATTCGTGTTGCTCAGCGAAGTAGGGTAACAATATTTAGCAAGAATGTCACTAGTATTGATTCCAGGATAGATAAGAGGCAATAGTGTTGGAGGAAAGTCACTAGGTTGAAAGGCTGATTCTCCGTCGAATTCTTGATTGTTTCCAAGCACAGCAGTGGCCTTTATTTTCCTGTCGATAGTGCTTGCACCAACTGTGAGAATCCAGGGCGCATCATTAGATATTGAAAAAATGTATGGTCCTGAATTTCCAGCAGAACAGCTGACAAAGATTCCCCTTTCCATAGCACTAAATGCACCAAGTGCAATGATGTCTTCATAGAATTGTCTAGCTCGACTACCAAGGGAAATTGAAAGTACATCGACACCATCTTCAATAGCCATATCTATTGCAGCCAAAACGTCACTCCCAGAGCAACCAATAGCAGAGCACGTTTTGTAAATGGCAACATGAGCTAGAGGTGCAACACCCACAGCTGTGCCATTAGCATTGCCAAAAATGTTTGCACCTGGAACGAAACGTCCAGCTGCTGTGCTAGCAGTATGTGTACCATGTCCATTTTCGTCCCATGGATCATTCTCCGTGTAGCGGAAGTACCTCGCACCAATGAGCTTGTTGAGCCGTGCTAGCAGTATGTGTACCATGTCCATCTTCGTCCCATGGATCATTCCCCCTGTAGTGGAAGTACCTCGCGCCAATGATCTTGTTGTTGCACTTTGTGGTATTAAATTGACATATACCCTTCCATTTAGCAGGGGGAGGTGGCATCCCATCATCGCTAAACGAAGGGTGGTCCGGGAAAATTCCTGTGTCAATAACTCCAATGATCACACCTTTCCCATAATTCGAGTCATTCCAGAACCCCATGTTCTGGTTCAACCCCATGAAATTTACACTATGTGTGGTGTACAAATCAAGTAGCCCCTCGGGGCGTGCAGAGACAAATCCTTCCATTTTCTCCATTTCCTTTAAATCTTCTAGTGATAACTTAGCTGCAAAACCTGTTATAACATTTCGATAGGAATATATCAATCGTGGTGGTTCACGAGAACTATCTGAGGTTGTTGCAGGCAAGAAAGAAAGATAATAGCTTTCCAAATCTTGATTTCTGGTAGTCCTTTCCCCATCAGGGAACTGACAATGAACAATATAGATTTGTGAATTGTTCTGTTCTGTTGCATTAGTGGTAAATGGAAATAGCACACAAATCAGCCCAATTATAGTAAGAATTAACCTGTATTGAGCCATGATAAATTTAGTTCTAGTGAAAGAGCTGTTATTTGTGGAGTGTTTCTGAACTTTGATTGAGGGTATGTATACTAATTGGAAGTATAGTTTTTTATTTGCAAGTCAAAAGCTAGTTTAGAAATGTGAAATAGTCATGCCTGGAGATGCACGCTAAAACGATTTTATTCTATTTAACATCTATGTGAAAATGAACTAGGCATAGCAACATCATACATATGAAGTCATCAATCTACAATATACTTTTTTAGGTATTGTTCCAGTCAAGTTGGACGTGCCTTAACTAATACACTGGTTCACCTCTCAAGTACATGGTACCAAAGTAACCGTGCTCACAGTGGCGGAACCAGAAATTTTAATAAGGGGTTCAAAATCTGAGAAGTAAACACACAAACTAGTGGAAGGGGGTTCGACATCTATTATACATACCTAAAAAATAATTTTAACCATGTATAAATAGTAATATTTTTTGCCGAGGGGGTTCAGATTATATGCTGCCTCCGCCTCTGCATGCTCATAAAGGCTGGAGCAGACAGATTCACACAACTAGTGTCGTAGCTGAATTTTTAACCTGAAATCTTCAGATGGTTACTCCAATCACTAGGCCATCTATTTGGGATCCAAAATAAGTCTAGAAGTATATCTAAACTTGAGTGCTGAAAACAAGTAATCATCAATAAAGTGGATAGAGCACCACGAGGTTTCTGGTTTAAATCTCAATGAAGGCGGAAGAAAATTAATAAAACAATCATCCCTCTTGACTAATGGTGAGATTATGAAAGAGAATTATAATAATGTTGCAAGCGTGCACTTCCAAATAGGCCTAATGTTAATTACTTTTATAATACAAATATGCTAACTTCCAAGTTTTATAAGTTTTCAGATTTGTCAATATTGACAAAATCAAGCATTACCACTTAATTTGACATTTTGTTTTGAATTAGTTTCATGTTTTTTTTCTTTTCATATTAAACTAAGTGCATTTCCAAGAAAAAATCAAGCATGACAACACCAGTGGATGCAGTCTTAGTAGCACATAAGATTTTAAATCATAATTTTAAAAGTTTAATGGATTCAATGTTAAGAGCTCTAAAGATCGAATTTCATTTAGTTAAAATTTTGGATTCACATTTTGATGACAACATCATCTGTATCTAGTGTACATTATTTATATTCTCGAAAAGTCATAACCTCATCTTCAACAGGATAACATGTTTTTTTAATTATTTTTTTTTGATTAAAGTAAACTATAAATGTACTAATTGTGTAAAAGAGACCTTACACTTGATGACCTCTTCAAGATAGGATATCAAGATGAATATACTTCCATATTACTTGTAAATTTTCATGGACTATCTTTATTCCAATCCCAAAAGATAGACACTTGTTGGAAATATTCTCTTGAATTTTGAAATGTTCAATTATTTGATCTTTCTCTTTAAACTATTTTTTTCTTTGAAACACACTACAAGTTGCAGGTGCAGCCCTTTGCAGGCTTCATTCTGAGCTCCATATACTAAGAAACATAACCAAAAAGTTATGGCTGTGCCACCTTCTATGTTGCACAAATTATTGAACTTCAGGGAAAAAGAAGTGTCTAACATGTAAAAATATGCTTTAACAATTTAGTGTACATTGTTGAAGTGTGTGACTATATAATCTGAAAGCTTAAGTTGTTAGAGAAAGTACACTTATATTATTTAATTGTATTCTCAACACTCACGTGAGGGCCTTATTTTTTTTTCGATCTCGAACATCTACCTGCTCTGATACCATGTTGAAGTGTATGACCATCTCATCTAAAAGCGTAAAGGTTTAGAGAGAGTACACTTATATTATTTAATTGTATTCTCAACATACATATATTGCTTTTTCTTGTGTTCGTAAAAGAAAAAAAAGATGGTCCTTTTAAGTGGATTATGTGATGGGGATGGTGAGGTTGAAAGAGAATTTTAGGAAAGTGTTATTCGTACTAAAAGTAGGGAAGTCATTCTCCTTGTTTTGAGAGAAGGTTGGTTAATAAATGAGTAATTCATTAAGATAAAAGTACTTGAGTAAATTAACTTGAATTGATTAGATGAATGTAGAGATTTTTAGAGTTAATACGACAATTAGCAGTGTTCGAAGATGAAAGCAATTGCAAAACATTGAATAGATATTACTAAAAGAAATGAGATATAAACCAAAGTATCCTATTTCATGTCATCTGTTTATCATGAGTTGATTCATTTGTATTTAATAGAATGTATATTGAACATGGTTTTATTGCAAAAGAAAAATCTTGATGAGTGTGTCACTGAGATCAGATCCTTCATTTATTTCTTCAGAAAAGGAAAAAGCGAACAGCGATTGGGCTCCTAACAATGTGTTTTTCAGAAATCCATCTAAGAGATCCCTGATTAAAAGTAGTGTTCGGTATGGTATCCAGAGGTGTAAATGTCACTTGATAGCTCAATGCTTGTTTCACCTCTGAAAAAACAAGTGTAGTTGGTTCAACTTTCACATCAAGACCTGGCGGTGAATCAATTTCAACTCTGTATGTTGAGTTGGCTTGTCCAACATTCATCACAGTTCTTGAATATACTTGAGCTGATGAGTTGACTCTGACTTGGATCGAAAACGATGGATAATTTAGTTGACCATCTGAGATGCTAGTAACCTCTGAACAATTAACTTTGCCCGGAAAAAAGAATCCAACTTGTGTGTCTGTGTAATTTAGACCACATAAATAAGGTAAGTAAACGGCTGGGTCTATGTCATATATCAGGCCTGGATCATTTGCTTTTGACGGATTAACATGGCCTGCACCAGTGGCAAAAACATTGGCTGGAAGGTATGTTTCATCCTCGATTAAGTTAGATCTGAGGTTTAAGACATCTGCTGTTGTCATAATTGCTGACTTAATTGCAGCTGGAGACCAATCGGGGTGAACACTTTTTAGTAGTGCTGCAACGCCACTGAGGTGAGGACAAGACATTGAGGTGCCTGAGATCATGTTGAATCTCGAGTTGGTGTTTGTGTTGTTATCCAAGGAAATATGCCAAGCTGCTAGAATATTAACGCCAGGACCAATAATGTCTGGTTTTAGAATTCCAGGGCTTGCATAACTTGGACCCCTGGAAGAAAATGCAGCAACCACTGGAGCACGATCATCTCCAATTATAGTTCCCTTGAACACTATTGTGGCTGTAGGGGTTGGTGTTGAGTCTATGTACTCTTTGATTTTTAGACCATCAGCATAGCCAACATATGTCGTTGGAAGGACATATGCCTCGGCCAATGTTGTGTTAGCCATGGCTTCTCGGTTCATAAATATCATGGCAGCACCACCAGCTGCCTTCACTGCTATACCTTTATCAGCTCGCGTTATTTTACCAGACTCACAGAACACAATCTTTCCCATGACATTCGTGTTGTTCAGCGAAGCAGGGGTACAATATTTAGCATCAGAATCACTAGCATTACTTCCAGGATAGGCAAGAGGCAATAGTGTAGGAGGAAAGTCATGAGGTTGCAAAGCTGATTCTCCGTCGAATTCTTGATTGTTACCAAGCACAACAGTGGCCTTTATTTTCCTGTCGATAGTGCTTGCACCAACTGTGAGTATCCAGGGCGCTTCATTAGACATTGAAAAACTGTATGGTCCTGAATTTCCACCAGAACAGCTGACAAAAATTCCCTTTTTCGTAGCACTAAATGCACCGAGTGCAACACTGTTTCTATAGAAAGCATTAGATAGACTACCGAGGGAAATTGAAAGAATATCCACACCATCTTCAATAGCCATATCCATTGCAGCCAAAATGTCGCTCCCGGAACAAAAGCCAGCAGAGCACGCTTTGTAAACGGCAACATGAGAAAGAGGTGCAACGCCCGCGGCAGTGCCATTAGCATTGCCAAAAATGTTGGCACCTGGCACGAAACATCCAGCAGCCGTGCTAGCAGTATGTGTACCGTGACCATCTTCATCCCATGGATCAATCCCCGAGTTCGGGAAGACCCTGGCTCCAATGAGCTTGTTGTTACACTTTGTGACATTAAATTCACACTTACCCTTCCATTTAGCAGGGGGAGGTGGCATCCCATCATCGCTAAACGAAGGGTGGTCCGGGAAAATTCCCCCGTCAATAACTCCAATAATCACACCTTTCCCATAATTCGAGTCATTCCAGAACCCCATGTTCTGTTGCAACCCCATGAAATTGACACTATGTGTGGTGTGTAAATTAAGTATCTCGTCGGGGCGTGCAGAAACAAATCCTTCCATTTTCTCCATTTCCTTAATATCCTCTGGTGATAACTTAGCTGCAAAACCTGTTAGGACATTTCGATAGGAATATATCAAACGTGGTGCCTCACGAGAACTATCTGAGGTTGTTGCAGGCAAGAAAGAAAGATACCAGCTTTCTAAATCTTGATATCTGGTTGACATTTCCCCATCAGGGAACTGACAATGAACAATATAGATTTGTGAATTGTTCTGTTTTGTTGCATTAGTGGTAAATGAAAAGAGCACACAAATCAGCACAATTATAGTAAGAATTGAACTGTATTGAGCCATCATTACTTTAGTACTAGTGAAAGAGTTGTTATTTTGTGAGTGTTTTTTGAATTTTGATTTGAGGGAATATATGCTTATTGGAAGTATATTTTTTTATTTGCAAGTCAGAAGCTAGTTTTAGAAATGTGAAATAGTCATATCTGGAGATTCTTGGATTTAATAGAAAATAGAAAGTGAACTGGTCATCTATACGCTAAAACGATTTTATTCTAATTAACTTCTATTTGCTAATGAAGTTGGCATAGCCACATCACATAGATGA